GGTCCTAATCGACAGGCGGCAGGTGATGCTGCGCGCGATCATCGACGGCAACCTGATCACAGCCTCCGCCGCCGTCGGCTCTTCCCGGCGAGCCGCCGTCGGCGACGACATCCGTCTCTACGGCGATGACGCGTGGCCGCGCGGCGACCCGCTCTGCACGCTGCACGGCATCCGACAACAGGTGGCGCAGCTGCACGCGTTTATACTTACTGTCGGTCGCGAGTCGTTCTCTGTCATTGCATGCTGTTTCATCTGAATGGCAGGTGGCGATGCACGCGTTAATAATTACTCTACTACTATTCACGAAATCCGAAAATCTGGTCCCCAAGGGATTCCGATAATAGATTGTGTACTGTATAAGAACTACAATTATTCGTTAAAAATATCTCATACACAGTTTTGTGTTGTCTGTGGCTCGACGGCGTTCTGTCGTTATGGCGGTGTACTGATTGTGGTATATCGGTTGTTGCTGTCGTCAGGCGGAGAACGATGCTCCGGAGATCCCTACCTGTGTCTGTCGGACTTTGTGGCTCCCGAGGAGTCGGGCATCAAAGCGACATGCCTCGGCATGTTTGTGGTGAGCGCAGGGTTCGGGGCCGAGGAGCTGGCAAAGGGGTGAGTGGGGTTACTGTGGTGGCGTCGCTGCGCACGCACGCGCATGTACGCTGCGGGCACACAAGCGTGTACACCTGCAGGCACACACGCATGTACACATGCGGCCACACGTGCATGTACGCATGCATGCACACGCACCGCAGACACAACAAGCATACATACGTGCAGGCACTCCACACGCACGCCCGTACGCGCAGCACTCACACGCACACATACGCACACGCACGCACAGGCACACACAAGCACACACACGTGCAGGCACTCACACGCACGCACGCACGCAGCGCACGCACACGCACGCACGGACACGCACAGCACTCACACGCACGCACGCACCACACTTGCAGGTGTACGGAGGCTGCATGGTGAGGAGCTGTCCAGAGGTGAGTGTGTGGTACTGTAGTTGTCATCGCTGCACACACGCAACGCACGCAACGCATGGCACGCACGCACGCCCTACACGCAAGCACGCACACACTCACACACAGCACATACGCACGCAATACATGCACGTTCATGCACTCACTGACTCACGCACACATGCACGAATGCACTCCTGAGCACACACACTCTGCATGTGAGGAAACTCGAAACCATCACCCAAAGAAAGCTTCAAAACTAATATGTAGTTATATATACGTGATATTTCGTAGTTATTCCACTCTGACACATATATATATTATATATATATATATATAATATATATATATTATTATATATAAAGTACATATACTATACACAATATACTTTATACCTTATAGTATATACTACATACTATGGTCTATAAACTGTGTGCTTTGCACTGCTGAATTTGCTTGATTTGGTTGTCGGGTGTTTGCAGGTATGAAGCGAAGCTTGACGATTACAGCTCGATCATGGTGAAGGCCTCGCTGATCGCTAGCTGAGGTAAGCATGCGCGGCGCGGCGCAGTGCGAGTCGATTGAAGAGCGCAGGTGTTGGGGCTGTAATCATGATTGCAATGATGACTACTGCTTCTGCTACTACTTCTGCTACGTCTGTACTGATCTCTTCTGTCTGTTCCATTCTGTTAGTTCTGTTGCTGCTGCTGCTACTATGACGGATGCAGTTATTACTATTGCTGCTGTTACCATTGCTTCTGTGCTGCTGCTACTTCTGTTACTGCTGTCACTGCTGCTGCTGCTACTATGACTGATGCAGTTATTACTATGCTGCTGTTACTGTTGCTGCTGCTACTTCTGTTACTGCTGTCACTGCTGCTGCTACGAGAGTGTTGCTGTAATTACTATTGCTGCTGTTACTGCTGTTACTGCTGCTGTCATGTTGTTATACTAGTCCTTTTTTACCGGGTGCTGTCCCTTGCAGGCATTTGCTGAGGAGCTGCATGAGCGGTGAGACAGGACCTGTGGGGTTACGCCAGTGCAGAGCACCTCAACGCCTCACAGCTGCATCAGATTAGCTACAAGGTACACACAGCAGGTGGCGCTAGTGATGTCTTAGGTGGCGCTAGCTATGTCTTATTAGGTGGCGCTAGCTATGTCTTATTAGGTGGCGCTGCTGACGAGTGCACATATTCTGATCGTTTTTTCTCTCGTGAATGTAAAAAAAATGTATCACGCGCGTTAATAATTTCTATAATTTCTATAATTTCTATATTTTGACATCAGCTATTTTTATCTGGAGAAAAGGTCATACGACGTTAGTGAGTAAAGGTCATACATCTTCACTCTTCTCAGGAATCGGTTTATGTTGTATAGTTACATAAACATATTTATACCATGCATATCGCATATATCAGGAGTTAATAATGACAAATTTGTCATTATTAACTCCTGCATATATATATATATATATATATATATATATATATTTATAGATATACTACGTACACATCTATATTGTAGAGATATGTTTAGGTTGTTATTAAGAGAGGTGAGATGGTATGGGATGTATACATATCTATACTATGCATATTGTTGCAATGCTAATGTCATTCAGCGGAAGCTATTAATACCAGCTCACACAAATTTTTCACCACACCAGCTAGCAACAATTTCTCTCCGGACTACTGGACACATAAAACAGCTGCTGATAGACAATCGGTGCAACCGCACACACACTGTCAGTTTTCACAAGGTTTAGTTTCACGCCGCATACTAGCCACATGTAGTTTACGCTATAGCTCTATTGCAAACCGGACACTATAACCACATTACTGCCACATTAGCGCTGGTTATTTTTCGTGCGGCAGCATCTTAAATCCACACATTACCCATCTGAAAACATTATACTGCTATTTCTATATTGCCTCTATTGCTAAATTGCCGCAATGCGCCATCAGCCCTACGTCATACCTACGTAGGCCACCTACGTGGCCTATGGGGCATAAAACATCTCCACTCCTGACTCGCCATTGGACATCCATTTCCGTCATCACCCTAGGACTGACCATAGGCACTAATCACAGACCCTATGCCTTCCCTGTAGCCAGCAGTGATTGGTGGAAGCCTATTTGGTAATAGCATCGCGGCTCATCTTGCAAGGGGGGGGGGGTTAAGACAGCCCGCACGGGAGACACGAGGCTCTCTCTCGCTTTCTCACTCTCGTTTCTTTTCAAATTCACTGTGTTGCGCGCACCCTGTTATTTTGAACTACCCTCTGTGATTTGTATTTGACTGTGTGAGTTTAAACAATACGCAGTGAAGTGGCAGTTGTAAGTACACACCTTTCTTCTATTTTATTTCTCTGGTTTTACACATAATTACACTTTAATTGTGCACTCTTTTCACGGCGCACTTAGCACATTGCTATACGCGCACAACCGTCTGGCAGCAGTAACGATCCAGCGACTACATATATTGTATAGATATATTTATAGATATACTACGCTATATATGTATCCTACAGGTCTATATTGTAGAGATAATGTTCAGCTTGCTATTGAGTGAGGTGCAAGTGACGAGGTCTGACGACGTATTGTTGTTGTTTAGGGCATCCGTCCCGCGCCGGGATACCCGAGCCAGCCCGACCACACGGAGAAGCTCGCCATGTGGCGCCTCCTAGGGGCGGCGGACAGCACCAGCGTCGAGCTGACGGAGTCGCTCGCCATGTGGCCGGCCGCCTCCGTCTGCGGACTCTACTTCGCGCACCCGCGCGCGACCTACTTTGCGACGGGCAAGATCGCGCGCGACCAGGTATGCGGCGCCTGCGAGTGAACTTGCGAGCTCCGCCAGCGCGCTCTGGTGGTGGGACGTTGGAACTGAGCGAAGGTTTGAGACCTCGGGGGGGGGGGGGTAAACGACCCACTAAATGACACTCGGGAATAGTGTAGCCACTAGGGTTGTGGGTCCGCCAGGTGCCGATAGTGGGTCCGCCAGGTGGCGATAGTGGGTCCGCCAGGTGGCGATAGTGGGTCCGCCAGGTGGCGATAGTGGGTCCGCCAGGTGGCGATAGTGTGTCGCGACGGGGAGCCGCATGGGTTTGTCTCGCTGGGGAATTACGTTAGTTTGTCTGTGAGCGGTTAGCGAGCACCTTGTCGCCATGGCGACGCGATGCGGGCGTCTGCCCGGTGACGGTCTCCTGAGTTACGCAGCATGCGTGCTGCAGGGGGCGGGAGATGTGCTATGCTGGGGAATGTCGATAATGAAGGAAGCCATCAACGTGAAATCTGTGATTCGTCATAATGAAGGAGTAATCTCATCTGCAGGCTAGCGCTACCTAGGACAAGAACGTCCACGTGAATGTTGCAGTGCTGCCACTTTATACTTTTTTAAAGTATTATACTTTTTTTTAAGAAAATATACTTTTTATACTTTTTTCATACTTTTTTCATGCATAAATACTTTTAAATACTTTTTTTTGCTAAAGATGGTCAAAACTCTTCGGACTTACATTTAGGTACACTGTATTTGATGAGATTAAAGATGTGCTTTGCTAGTCTTGTTGCAGGAGTGATGTGTGCTTTGTTCAGTGGAATGTTTTTGTTCTCATCTCTCTGCTGTCAGTGACCAAATGACAGACCATTGCAGTGTTTCCCCTGCATTGACACGAGCGAGGCGGGCCGCCTCGCTCAAATTCTCAGCCGCCACACAAAAATTTGTCCAAAACACCGCTTCTCTGACGAAACTTTTGATAACTTGAAAAAGAGATTCAAGAGTCTCGTACAATGTGTCCAGAATAGCTTAGAATGCACCAAATTGCACCATTTTTAAAAAAAAAAATTCCGGGGAGCATGTCCTCAGACCCCCCTAGCTGGCCAAGCACATGCACTGCTCACTGTGCTATAGGACCTCGCAACACACAAACACACCACACAAAAATTTACCGCCTTGTAAGGCGGCCTTAGTGGCGTAACCTTTCTGGCCAAGGGAAACTGCATTGAAATATTGCAAACTGAGAGTTCATGAGACAACTCCTCATGACATTGCACACATCATTCCTGAAGCTTGTTTACATGCTACACATAGGCTATAATGTATTCGATAATAAGGTATAAGGTAACAAATCGTGGTAGGTTGATACAAATTTATACTTTTTTTATACTTTTTTTTGGGGCAATTTTGAAATTTTTTTCTGGACAGATTTGATACTTTTTTTGTAATATCCTGAGTGGCAGCACTGATGTTGTCAACTGTAATTGTCAGTTACAAATAAATTGTATGTTTTGCTGTCGTTACGGTATTCTACAGCTTAATATTCCCATAGTTCAATAGTTGATCGCTCAATTTCTTCTCAATTTTCAATTTTCCTTATGCTAGTTTTAAATAGTTGTTTCATAGTAAAAGTGTCTTACTTATTGTCACATGTATATATCATAATAATGTGCCATAGCTGTGCAGTAAGTAGGTAACATGAGTGTTTAATTATTATGATACCAAAGTTATGAAATAATTTACCAAAGTTATTTCCATTTTCTTATGTTTATCGTGTCAATTTTTATTTTTTGTCCGTAATTTTTATAATCCATAGTCACTGCGCAAGAAATCCAGTATGGATTCCAGAATGTCAACTACAACTTTCAAGCTGCGAACATTACTGTGATCGCATTTTCTTAGGTCACACCTCCTAGTGTCACGTTCTCTCTTGTTCTTATAGGTCGAAGACTACTCAGCCAGGAAGGGTCAGTCAGTGTCCACCACTGAGAAGTGGCTGCAAGTCCACCTGGCATACGACCACTGACTGTCGCCATGGTAACCATGCTGGCCGCTCACGCACGGCCACGCTCTCCGGTCGACGAGACGCCAGTGGCTCCGCCTAGTGTGACGACGGATGATTCGCGAGATTTATTGTCTTCTGAAGCGTGCAGAGACGTTTGCTTGTTTGTTTGCTTGCAACTGCATTAGTGATCGACCACTAACGGTCGATACGGTGGATACGGACTCATCGATCTAACGCAATGGCGAGTACACGATCGGTGCATGCACAGGCACTTTAACATTTGTGATTACGTTTGTTTTTCGATTTTGCTTCAACTTGTTTTTGATCGCGCGATTTTTCGTTTGACGATGGCCGAAGCCTGTGCCGTGATTTGCAGGATGTTGTTTGTGGCGTCGTGTTGCTTTTTGCTGCGGCGACCGATGTCAGTGCGGCGGTGCGCGCACTTTGTGTTTGCGCTCCCGCCGCTCCACATTCCTAGTCTTATGCACAAACTCGTGAGCTGGCAAATTAGCTTGCTCTGCTCTGTTCTGTTTCGCTCGTCTTTCACCGTAGTAGATTTTTGGGGTCGCCGCTACGGTGACGTGGCAACAATTGTGAGTTCGGTTACCTGTGCTAGCGCCATCTAGCAGCGATTTCGACGGCTTGTATTTTTTGAAAATGTTATATTTTGGAAACTACCCCGTCGGTATGGCTGCTGTGTGAAAGTGAGCGCCGCGTTAGGGATAGTGGGAGCATGATCAGTGATCCACGCTTTCTACTTTCTCGATAACTGTCTCTCTCTCTCTCTCTCTCTCTCTCTCTCTCTCTCTCTCTCTCTCCCCTCTCTCTGATAGTCGAGGAGAGGTAGGAGGGAAGGAGAATGGAGAGAGGAAGGAGATAAGGAAATCGGAAATTGGGAAGTTGATGAAAAAATGGATGATCATGATTCATTCGAGCACCAAGCTTAGACTAACCCGCTAAAGTTCTCGTGGCTGTGCCAACAAGGACGTTCGTGATGCCAGTAGCAACTTGCGGAGTCAGTCTCACACTGCTCTGCCGGTAGGTGGCGTTATGTACGCGTGTGCCTCTCGTCGTTTTGTCGAGTAATTCACACGTGAAAAATAAATGTACAACTGTTGTTTTTTTGGAGTGTAGTTGTCAATGTGCTGTTGTCAACGCTGTTCGTGTTGTTGTTGTTGCTGTTGTTTTTGTTGAGGTTGTTGTTGCTGTAGTTACTGCTTATGTTTTTAACGATGATGGTGATAATGATGACGACGATGATGATGATGATGATGACAGTGATGACGACGATGACGATGATGATGATGATGGTGATACTGATGATGATGATAATAACAATAATGATGATTATGATGATGATAATGATAATGATGGTGATGACGGTAATGATGGTGGTGGGGGTGGTGATGATGATGATGATGATGATGGTGATGTTGATTATGGAGATGCTGATGACGGTGATGATGAGATGTTGATGACGGTGACGATCATGATATTAAATGACGACAATGATGATGAAGATAATAGACATTCACACGCACACCTCGCCTTATGCGTTGGGTCAGCAACGCCGCCTGCCAGATATAGGTGAAGCGCCCATCCAACATTCTGTGATGCGTTCGTTGATTTTAATAAATAACAATATTGCTTCCACACACTGTTAAATTTGCTGTTCTCTTAGTTCATATATACCAGCTCCTTACTTGTGTTACTGCGTTACCCTCTCTCTCTCTCCCTTTCTCTCACTCTCTCCCCTCTCCCCCTCTCCCACTCTCTCACTCTCCGTCTCTTGCGTCGTATAGGTGCGGAAGCGAGGAAGGTCTACGACGAGGCGCAGGTGATGCTGCGCGCGATCATCGACGGCAACCTGATCACAGCCTCCGCCGCCGTCGGCTTCTTCCCGGCGAGCGCCGTCGGCGACGACATCCGTCTCTACGGCGATGACGCGTGGCCGCGCGGCGACCCGCTCTGCACGCTGCACGGCATCCGACAACAGGTGGCGCAGCTGCACGCGTTAATACTTACTGTCGGTCGCGAGTCGTTCTCTGTCATTGCATGCTGTTTCATCTGATGGCAGGTGGCGATGCACGCGTTAATAATTACTCTATACTACCATTCCGAAATCCGAAAATCTGGTCCCCAAGGGATTCCGATAATAGATTGTGTACTGTATAAGAACTACCAATATATTCGTTAAAAATATTCTCATACAAGTTTTGTGTTGTCTGTGGCTCGACGGCGTTCTGTCGTTATGCGGTGTACTGATCGTGTGATATCGGTTGTTGCTGTCGTCAGGCGGAGAACGATGCTCCGGAGGATCCCTACCTGTGTCTGTCGGACTTTGTGGCTCCCGAGGAGTCGGGCATCAGCGACTGCCTCGGCATGTTTGTGGTGAGCGCAGGGTTCGGGGCCGAGGAGCTGGCAAAGGGGTGAGTGGGGTTACTGTGGTGGTCGTCGCTGCGCACGCACGCGCATGTACGCATGCGGGCACACAAGCGTGTACACCTGCAGGCACACACGCATGTACACATGCGGGCACACGTGCATGTACGCATGCATGCACACGCACGCGCAGACACACACAAGCATACATACGTGCAGGCACTCACACGCACGCACGTACGCGCAGGCACTCACACGCACACATACGCACACGCACGCACAGGCACACACAAGCACACACACGTGCAGGCACTCACACGCACGCACGCACGCAAGCGCACGCACACGCACGCACGGACACGCACAGGCACTCACACGCACGCACGCACACACTTGCAGGTGTACGGAGGCTGCATGGTGAGGAGCTGTCCCAGAGGTGAGTGTGGTGAGTACTGTAGTTGTCATCGCTGCACACACGCACGCACGCACACGCATGCACGCACGCACGCCTACACGCAAGCACGCACACACTCACACAAGCACATACGCACGCAATACATGCACGTTCATGCACTCACTGACTCACGCACACATGCACGAATGCACTCCTGAGCACACACACTCTGCATGGTGAGGAAACTCGAAACCATCACCCAAAGAAAGCTTCAAAACTAATATGTAGTTATATATACGTGATATTCGTAGTTATTCACTCCTGACACATATATATACTACTTTATTATTGCATATATTCTATTGGGTTACTGAAAGTGGGGCATTAATTGGGTGAGAAGATGGCGCCGCACTCAGCGTCGTACGGTGGTCCGCATCATCTGCCGAACGACCGCGCATTTTTCGAACCGCTGTTTGTTTGTCTACGATTGCAGGAACGCCGGTACGTGTCGCTCGCGGAAGCGAGGGAGCGCAAGTTTCAAATCGATTGGGCCTCCGAGACAAAACCAGGTGAGTGACTAAACACTTCGATCACGCGTCGATCGCTCGGGTTTCCGCTCTTATATCAGAGGTTATATTTCCAGTAAGGGAGAAGAATGATTGTACATAACGATGCCGCAATCTGCCCGATGTTGTTAAGCGATTAGTCACGACGGAAGTGGACCGCAAGTGAGTCACTCGCACTCCATTTATTCTGTTTTGCGTACTAGTGCGGTCAAACCAGTGTTGTGCGGACACCTGTACAAAACGGACACCTGTCTATAAGGTCACTTTTGGTGCAACGTGAGCACTACTTAGTAGGTCGCTAGTCGCCCAATTGTTTTAAAGGCAACCCACCATTTATGTATCGTTAGCGTAACAGTGCTTGCAACTCTCCAGCTGGTTCTCTAATATATATCGAATTCTGGGTGGAAATATTACTGAATTTTTCTCGATTTCAAATCTAAATTCTCTCGATTCACGGTTGCAAATTACAATCGTCGCTGGCAAACAAAACTCTCCAACCCAACCGAACGCTGAAGCGCGCACGCGACGACGACGACGACGACTAACGTGCCGCTCCGCTCTGCAGTGGCGCCATCTTTCTACGGCACGCGCGTCTTCCGTGACTACGACCTCGGCCGTCTCGTCGGCTACATCGACTGGAAGCCGTTCTTCGACGTGTGGCAGCTGCGCGGCCGCTATCCGAACAGGGGCTTCCCACGCATCTTCGACGACGCCACCGTCGGTGAGGCTTGAGAGTGGGGTCTGGGTGGGTGTTGTATGGATGTGCGTGAGTGTGCTGCTGCGAGATTGTGTCGTCTCTCGCTCTCTCTATTCCTGTCTGTCTGTCTCTCTCTCTCTCTCTCTCTCTCTCTCTCTCTCGCTGTCCATCCCTCTCTCTCTCTCTCTCCCTCT